CCTGCATCACCATGCTCTCCTGGCAGCTAGGTCTCTAAGGTAGGCTGACCACAGACAGAAGCAGCTTTACTCTTTGGTTTGAGACATAACATGTAATACTATGGTATTCACACGAGTTCCTGGGACCCAGTTGGAGGCAGAGGTGCCTCCTGTCCACCCTGTTCTTGGAGCCCTCCCACCTACCCAAGGGTCAGTGCCCCTAGCATAGGAGGGGACCGGGAGCAACCTTGTCCCCTGTCTTGTACCTATCTCTTCTGATTTTCCCACCTCCTGTCTCTTGACCCATCCTGGCCCCAAATGGCTCCCTGGATCCCTAAGTTTACTTGTGGTTTCTATATCCATCCATTCAAAGACATGGCATGTGTTGGGATGACAGCTGTAAATGCATCAGTTGGCCTCATGACATTTGCACAGTTACCTGATAGGCATTTAAGTTTCCTGGGCTCCCTCATCAGTCTGATGCCCTCAGGTGGCCTCCCTTCAGGAACAATTCCATAGATTTTGGCTTAGGTCTCGTTTGGGGAATGAATTTGGAGCTCAGTTGGCTAGCTTGGGCATGGTAGTCTTCCTTTTTTCTAAGTAGCTGCTATGTTGTGGTCACTGTGACATGCACCTGAGGCATGTGTGAGTACGTGTGAATGTGTGTGTGTGTGCACGTGTGTGTGTGTGTATGTGTAATCAACAAGACATAGCCACTGTTGTCTTTTAGAAGCCCAGAGACCAGAACAGTGAGTACACTATGTTACAGTGTGAGCAAAGTGTTGAGAGGGGAGGAGGAGCCACTCTCCAGAAGAAGTGCCCTGCCCCCCTTTGTATTATATCCTGAGCAATTAATTCATCCCTCCTTGGAACTGGGCCCTCCCACTGAGACAAATCTTAATTGTTTTCTTCATTGGTCTCAGAAACAATCAAGAAAAGCAGATAAAAAAATACCTTCTCCATCCCTCCCTTGCCTCCCACTTCTGTAGCCCAGGCTGGCCTTGGACTCAAAATTCTGCCTCGCCCTCCCAAGTGCTAGAATTACAGGTATAAGCCCCCATGTCTGGTTTTGTTTTTGCTCCTTTCTCTCAAACCTCTTCACTATCATTGTTATCCTCCATTATGAATCCACATTCCAGCTGTTTCATTTCCATAGCAAGTAGGAGAGTGGCCCCATCACTGTTTCCTGCCTAGTGAATGAGGACATCTGGGAGTGGGGGCCCTGGTAGGGACCACTTACTCATTCCCGAGTTGTTTGCTCAGCAATTAAAACATTCCCTATACAACTAAAGAAGATCCCAAATTTGGAGTTTAGAGGCTAGACTGAGTAGCTCTCCTACAGAGGCTGCCAGCCTGCTAGTTCTTCTAAATAGAAAACAGTGCTTTGGTCTCCCCTAAATCTGGTTTTGTGGTTGGGGCTTAGTGGTGTGAGATTCCCCCCCCCCCATAAGGAATAATCAATACAGGGAGTTTGGGCAGGTGAGGAAGAGACTGAAGATTGAGCCCTGTCTCACCTGAAGCCTGGGAAATTCGGAAGAGGCACAGCACTTGGCATTTCCTGGGAAGCCCACATCCCCTCTTGCCAGTCAGTAGAGTTGCGGAATGTTGGTTTCACACATTCAGTTATTTTCCTTTCCTCTGGGAAGTCTGAACTTGCTTTTTTTTTTTTTTTTTTTTTTTTGTTCCTTAAAAGGAGTGGGGGTGGGGTTGGGGGGTCAGGGGCAAAGTAGATCTGCCTTGTTTGCATGGCAGAGAGCCCCTCAAGGGTACCTTGTACCTTCTGGCTCTCTCAGGCCTGATGAGGTGTGGAGGATCCAGAGAGGAGTGGAGGAGTAGCTTCTCCTATCAGCTGTGCTACCTGGGTGCTCTGTCTGTACCCCATTCTAAGGAACTGAGGCAGCCTCCACAGGTGGCCTTTCTACATCTTCCTTTTCTTCCTCTTGCTGCCAGACTTGGCTTCCTAGGCCCCAGTATGGCCACGGGCCCAGCTGCCTCAAAAGCTGCAGAGTAGCTCCAACTTTTCACGTGTCCTACAAGGCCTTGTAAAGTAGCTTCTGCTGACTACTGCCACTCAGACCTGCCCTTCACTGCCTCCTGAGTGGACCACACTGAAGCCCTTCTTCCTCTACCACTTCGGAGAGCCCTGGTCCAAGGCATTGCTACAGGATAGCTCCCATGTGTGCTCTGTGTATCACTCTGCTGGGTGCTTCTCTAGTGGAGTGGGAATAGAAGGCTGGTTTCCACAGCTAGATGGTAGGCTTCTGGCATGTTCCCATTCATCTTGGTCATTCTTCCTGGGTCTTTCTCAGGAACCTGCCCACAGTGACCTACCTGTTCCCAAAGGTTGGCTTTCTCTAGTGGGCAGAGAGTAGAGGGTGGGTGTATTCTGGTTCCATCTGCCTTTGTCATAAGACAGTGTGGACTCTCCCTCTTCCCACTGTATTCTCCTACCCTTCCCTCCCTCCACCCTCTGTAATAGCACCGAGCCTCTCCTGATGTCCAGGCCAGAGCATTACCCCAGTCACTTTTCTCCCTGTTGCCTCTAATTCAGGGTCCGTTTACATAATGGCCTCCCATCAGGGTGCGCCCCTTAGGCTCCCTGTTATACTTTAAGATTGCCAAGGGAAGCAAGTATTTGAATCCAGGAGAGTACTGACATGGACTTACAAAGCTTACTTACCCAAGCCTGCTGTTCCCTTTTCTATAAAGTGGGTTGATGACCACATCTATGTGGTAGGTTCAGCATGCATGGGAATGTAAGGGCTTATCAATCACAATTTATTTTATTATTCAAATTGTGACTAAGCTGGATGTCCTGGTGGGACTTCATTGCAGTTTAGTTCAAGGACTGTCAAGTGTGACCAGAAGGGAGCAGAATTGTGACATTAGACAGCCACAGCCTTCTTCTCTCACCTGCCTGTTATCACCTGGCCTTCTGGCCCCAGGCCCCAAGCTCCTCAGGCATATAGCCATTTCTGATCAGACACAAAGATGGAACAGTGCAGGGATGGAGGAGACTGGTCTGACTGGTCCAGGTGTGAGCTGGAGAGACGAGGTGGAAAAGGACAATGTAGGGGCTCACATGGGAGGACCCTTAGTGACACTTCATCTCCTCTGAGATATGAGTGCCTGTGTGTTGAGAGTTTACCTGCTTCAACTTTTCTTGCTAGCTCACTTCACACTCACAACACCTCTGGGTGCTCTTGACCCCTACACTGACAGGAGGAATGGTAGCTAGACAGGAAGCTACGTTGCCCTTGCCCTTGCTCATATGGTGAGAAAGAGCTGCTAGGGAAGAGCGGGTCTCCTGACTCCAGTCCAGCTGGTGCTCTCTCCTCTCATCAGAAGTAATGTTGTCAGAAAGAAGTGGCAGCCAGAGCCCTGGAGCAGTCAAGTGAGGCTGAAGAGGACAAAAGGCGTTAGCCATTCTGGTCAGGCAGCCTGGTGTTCCCTTAGGAGCCAGTTAGACATCTGCCTCTTCTGCAGACAGCATCCCAGGACCGCTGTCCTCAGCAGGAGGATACTTTCTGAAGAAGGCAGTTCACACTGGACTTTGCTGCTAGGCTTCCCTACCTGGGTTGTGAAGGGGCTCAGAAGAGTGAAAACACAGCGTGTTTCTTTAAAACTGCCCTCGGGATCTCATAGTAATCACCTCTAGGATGGGGGCCAGGGAGGATAAAGTCCCCCTGGTTGGAATCATAGGGCCCCTCTCCCCAGCTGTGTCCATCTGCTCCTCCTTAGTGATGAACGACCTCCTGTCCTAACTAGATTTTATGGTGCCTTGAGGACTGGCTGCAGCACATCTCTGTTTCCTCAAGGGCTCCCCAGACCCAGGGCAGAGGGGTTCAGGATAGACACCCCCACCCCTTGGAAGCGCATGGATTCTTCCATCAAGCCATTCCTGTGGATAGCCTTCCAGAGGCCAAGCCCCTTCCTTGTTAGGTGTTGGGTTAGAGACTGGTAAAACTTAACCCCTGCTGTGGATTCAGCACTCCTACTAAACGACAGGGACCTGACACAAAGGAGAGACTTGATCTCTGCCTCCTCCTGTGCCTCTAGCCTTCTAGTCTTCATTTGCAAACTGTGGTGGCCCACAGGTCAGCAATGCAGACTTCTGCACAGCCCATGGGAGGCTGTCGGCGTCGCAGTGTTTTACAAGAGGATCAAACACTGTTTTAGATCTTCCCAAGCCCCTGGCAGGCACTTCTCCAAGAGGACCCGGACTGTGACTGAGAGTACTGCCACGTTGCTTGACTGTCCACACAAGCAGTGCCCCACTTGAGCCACCTGCCCCTTGCAGCGCGCTCCGATCCGGATCCCCAGCCCTTGCAGCGTCCCACCCCGGGAACGCGGAGGCGGGGGCTCGCGCAGCTGCAGGAGCCTCTCGGAGCCGCGCGTGCGTGTGCGCGGAGGGGGTGGGGAAGGCGGTGGGAGGGCAGTGTGCCCGCGGAGGCCCTGGGGCGCTTTACCACACCTCACGCCTCCCCTGCGGTCCCTTTTGGCTGTGCAGTAGCCAGCCTCACGTGTGCAAAAGTGCGCGCGCGCGCGCGCGTGTGTGTGTGTGTGTGTGTGTGTGTGTGTGTGTAGTGTGCGTGAAGGTCCAGCTCCAGACCATGTGCCCCAGGCTGGACAGGCCAGTGATCCAGGGGGCGGCCAGCCTGGTAGTGGCAGCATTTCTTTCCAGCTCTTTCCCCCACACTGTCCTCTGACTTCTTTGGGTCCTGGATGCCCCAGCTGTCTCCTCCTCTCTCTCCCTTGCTCCAACAGAAGGGACCAGTGTAGGTTTTGGTTCATTCCCAGTCCCGGAGCCCTTGACATTTAGCAGGGCTCTGGGCGCACTGGTTTAGGCACCCAGCAGACCGCTAATCCTATTAAAGATATTGTGTCATTGGGGAGGGGGGTGGCTCCCCCACCGAGCCAGGCAAGCCTTGCGCCCATTGGTCAAATGCAAAGCAGGGGGCGGGGCCCAAGGCCGGGGGAAGGGGCTCTAGGCGATTTCGGAGTGCAGAGTTGGGGCTGGGATTTCGCAGGGAAAGCCCAGCGGTTGCAGCTGCGGCGGATCCCTAGGCTCTGCGCGTCGTGCGCCCTGGGCAGCCCAGGGCCGGCAGCAGCTCCACAAAGTCACGGAGCAAGGGGAAGCCGAGCGCCCGCAAAGTGGGGCTGGGCTGGGAGAGGCGTGCCTGCGGAGCCTGGATCCCCGCGCCCTTCAGCCTCGTGTGTGGGGAAGCCGGTGCAGCCCTTGCAGCCGGGAGGCGAACTGCCGCCCGGAAAGAGCAGTCAAACTGCAGCCTCTCCAAAGAAGCCAAGTTAACGCAGACGAACGGGCTCCCAGAGAGCGACCGCGAGCCTGCTTAGTTAGAGCCTCGCGGTACCGCAGAGCTCTCCGGGACCAGCCGGCTAGAAGCAGGGCGCCGTCCCATAGGCAGTGACCCCCAGTTCTGGGTTCGTCCGTGAGTGCACCCCGGTGCAGAGAGAGGGTGTGCAAGGCTGCACCCGTCCGCCTGCAGCCCGACTGGGGTGCCCCCTCCGTCCCGCTGTGGGAGCGATGCCCCCCGCCCTTCGCGCCCCCCGGGAACGACGCGAGCATGGAGAAGTCGAGTAGCGAGGATTCTTCGATCCACCGGAGTCCATCTTTGGACAGCAAGGACTCGGACTTTGTCAAGCCGTCCACCTCGGGCCGCCCGTTCGGCCGTGGCTTCACGGCTGGAGCCTTCTATGGCACCGCGGGCTCCCGGGGACAGAGCCGAGCAGAGGCTGGCGTTAAGACCGACAAGTACAATGCACCTAAAGGCAGCAAGTACGTGGTGTTTTACCTGGACCTGTCCTTTGTGTTCCTCCTAGAATTTAAGAAGTGCAACATGGCCAGGGGCTGCCTCTGCTGCTTGAAGTACATGATGTTCCTCTTCAATTTGATATTCTGGGTAAGTCCTTCCATTCAAGCTTTCGGTTGCTCCCTGTCTTTGCGTTCCATACTGTGAATACCCTCTTCCCGGTGCTGCATTGATCCATTCTCGGCTCCAAGGTAAGTCCTTAAAAAAAACTGTACCCCTCCCTATGCATCTCTCTTTCTCTCTCTCTCCTCTACAGCTGAATGGAGGCTGCAACTTGCCTTCCAAGAGAGACTTGCTCTACTCCTAGGAGGCGGGCAAAGTTTGCCACCTCTTCATTCTCCACCTGAGAAAATCAGTAGGCACTAATGTGCCTGGGTTGGGGAACCTGCAGCAGTGGATGTGGGGTCAGACTTTGAACAGCTGTACCCCTGCCTTGGTGGGAGACACAGGTGAAGATGGTTTCTGAGTTTCTTTTCTTGCTCCCGAATGCTTAAGAACAGCCAGCAGCATTATGGGAGTGGGATGGTGGGGGTGTGGAGGTCACAACCTCGCCCTCCTCAATTCCAGGGGCTCCCAGGAAGAGGAGGTAGTGCTGGCTTCCCATATCCACTTGGGGCTGATGTGGGAAGGGAAGGCTGGGGGCAGCGTGCCACCCCGGGACTGACTGCTGCTTTTGAGGGATTGCTGTGGACTGGGCAGTGAGCAGACTGGCCACATGTTCCCTGGCTGTAGGAACCCCAGGGACTAGAGGGGACAAAGGGAGATGATCTGCGGTGCCTTGTCTTTGGTGAGAAATGGTTTTCTAGAGAAAGTGCCTATGGATGGAGTAACTTGGTTATCCTCTGTCCACTGTGGGAACTGGAGGCAGGGCATGCACAAGAAATACTAGTCAGGCAAATTGGACGAAAACTTCTTCAATTCATCTGTGTCTTTCAACCGTACTGCTGCCTCTGCCTTTCTTCACCAGAGCTCAGACTAGTCAGCACAGATGTTTGGCTTGGTCCCAGGCTGTGTCCTGCCGGCTAGCTGGAGGCTGTCAGCTGCCATGGATGGTCCAGGAGGAGCTTGGGGGCAGAAAAAAGTCATTCCCAGTGAGGTTGGGTAGAAGCAGCATGCAGCTTTTGTGGAGTGACCTACTTTAGCAGAGAAACTTTTGGGGGCGTGTATGCGGAGGGGACAACTTTCCCCACAGAAGGAAAAGCTCTGGCCCATGGAGGAAGAAGCCCACATCCCTCCTGGTCTTTGTTAGCTTCTTGGATGACCTTGGGCAAACTCACTGTGTCCCTTAAGGACTATGCTTCCTCTCCAGTGTAGTGCAATGGAGGCTGTTAGGATGGTCTTCCTCACTGTCCTCATCCCCTTAGCTGTATGACACCCTGGGGTCAAGGAGACATCTGGGTGCACCTGTTTATTTTCCAGAAAGACTGATCTGAAATGAGTTGGGTTTCTCTAGTTGTTTCATCGGCTTTGTGGGTCGGGGGAGCACTGTGATGATTATGATATTACCTGTCATGTGGTTGGAGTTTTATGGAAGCTAGGGCAGTTATTCTTTTTCTGGTGACAAGAACCATTGGAATGTCAAGAATGACTTTGTCACTGTCTTGTGGGCCAGTGCCTTCTGCTCTTTCCATTTCTTTGCCAGGTTCTGTTAGCTAAGTACTAGTGTGAATTTCCCTGGTGCCTTGGTCCACGTGAGAGCTGTCCTCTTGGTTGTTTACTGCTTTCTTTTCTTTCCTTTTTCATAGTCTCGGCCTATCTTTCTGGTTTCCTTCACCCTACATATATTAATACTTTTATGAAGATTTGGTGAGTATAAGTGCTGCTCAGTGCCTTTTGGCCAGTAACTCCCACACAGCACCATGAGCTCCTCCCCACCCCCACCTCGCCACCTGCTGGTCGCAGTTGGTATAACTGTTCGTGATGCCTTCAGAATGATTGCAGGCTTGCTCATGGTCTGTGCCCTACACATTCCAAGAACCTATAGTGTGTTTACAAGCAAATGACTAGAGCTCTGAATTGCAATGTGGTATGATGTGGTAGGGATCCCTGTGTCCCAGCTGATGGGGAAGAGAATTTGGACATTTAGTTTGCCAATGATTAAGACTCTTCTAGCCCCTTAGTTGTTGGGTAACGAGTGATTCTTTCTGTCTTCTCTAGAAGCCTGGCAGCAGTTCCTGAACTAGTTCTTGAGATGCCTGCCCTTTGCAGTATATAGTAAGAGACCTTACTGCCTGACTCTAATTAGAACTCTCTTCTGGCAAGGAGTGGTGCTATCCCGTCATCCAAATTTTCTGGTCACCTCCTATTTTCAGACAAGTCACAAACTGGAAAGAGTCAAGTCTCAAAGACACATTTCTTTCATGCTAGTACCATATAAGATGCCGAAATAAGATACAGACTTTAGGAAAGATGGGAAATTTAGCAGAAGAGGAACGGGTGCTTGCCTATGTGCTTGCCAGTGTCTATTGGGAAGTGGAAGAGCTGGCAGACCAGGATTTCGGGGTGGTGGGTCACTGCTGTATTCAGATGAAGACTTCTTGCAGGCAAGTGCTCCTCACCCTGATAGAGGAGTGGAGCAGAGGTGAGTGCTGAGTGAGAGGAGACACCATGGTGGGCTATGGATGTAGCAATGTGTGTGTAGGGGGGTGCACAATGGTGGGAGGCATAGGAAGAGATGAAGAGGCTGGGGTGAGGGAGGGTCAAACCCAGCCCACTGAAATTAGGAGCCACTGTTAAGAGTTCTGCACACATCACTTGTTTTAGTCTGTGGCTCAGATCCCCAAAAGAGGCTTTTTCTGAGGCATTAGAGTTGAACTTGAGACCTGCAGTCAATGGAGCATTTCCCATAGATCCATAGCCTACCTGGTAGTCCTCCAGACCCAATGCCAAGCCCTCCAACCCCCTGCAGGATAGAGCCTCAGCCAGGATTCCTGGTATGGTGCTGTGGACTTAACACTGCAGCCCCTCAGGGCTGCCGTGCTTTCTCACCGCTGGGTGGAGCTTTGACCGCAGCGGTATTGGTGAGGGTCTGGATGACGTCACTAGGGACACGCAGCTGAGGCTTGGCTGGGCTGCTAGTGCTCCTCCTACTTACTAAGAAAAGGGCAGGTGCCTCCCAGGCTGCTGGGCGCCTGCCTGCTGGTGGGGGTCCAGCTCCGCTCCTGGCATGCCTGCTTTAGCCAGACAACGCTAGGCTGGTTGGCGGCCCTGTGCACTGTGGGAGCCTGGGGCACCCAGAAGGGCTGCTTGCTGAGTCCTGACATGGATGGTGACAGTAGAGGAGAGGAATCTGTGGCTACTCCCACCTCTTGGTGCATTATATTCTCCTGAATCCTGATTCTCGGGGCCACAGAGAATGATGGTTTCTTATTAGGAGGCCTGCAGGGGGACCAAAGTTTTTCTCAGCCAGTGCATCTTTGGATTCCCTCAGGTATGCCTGGGATTTGATTTCATTCCAGGTAGAGACTTAGGTAAATCTCCAGGAGGCCTTTTGTCAATGAGAAAAGGAGAGAGTTACCAGAGTGGGCTACCAGAGGGACCTCTGAGTGCTGGGGGGCCCCTCTGGTCTTTTCTCTGGCCAGGAAATCCTGATCCAAGCTTAGCTTCTCCCATGCCAAATCCAGATGCTGACTGAGATACAGGGGTGGGGGCAGGTGGGTACCCTAATTGCCATTCAGGAAAACAGTCACTTTTCATGCGTACCAGCAAAGCTGTCCTATCGCTTTAAATCATGACTGGCAGAGTGGTGACATTCTGGCCCCTTTGGAAGCCTCTTCCTTGTATATTGCTCCCTCTCATTAGCAGAGGAGACAGTGTTCAGTGTGCCTGCTAAAGCAGGGGAAAAGTTGACACGGGGCTGCTGTGGGTGGGGCTCTGGGTGGGGGCCTTGATTAACCTACCTGAAGTGGGGTCAGGCCCCTCAGACTGCTCACTGTCTTTGGGGGACAGGCAGCCAGGCCATGTGTCTCTGACTGCCTTGGCTACCTGTGTTCCATATTGGCATGGAGTGCCTGTGTGGGCTCCAGACTAGGGTCTGTGCAAACTGAGTGTTGAGAAGCCTAGAGTGTTCTGGGGAATCTGTGGGGTACCTTCTGAATGAGAGGACTTACGGAATCTTAGCAGGAAGCTCAGGTTGGGACCTGGCCTTACCTGGCCTCTCCATGTAGGAGATTCTGGTGAACCAGGCAGCAAGAGGCATTTAAGAAGTTCCCATAGTGCTCTGGGGTGAGGGATGCAAGCTGATGCCCCCAGAGGCTGGTGTAGACAGATCTTTTGGGAGATGGGATCAGGCCTGGCTGCTGAGGCCAGGACGTAAGATGAAGGGTCTTGAAGATACTCCAAGAGACCCCTGGAACATTGCCATGAGAGAATGCCAGCTCTGTGTTCATTTCCAAAGCATTAAAAATTAAACGTCCTTGCCTTAATATCTATTTTTAAATCATGTCAGAGCTAGCATTCATGTCAATCAAGAAGGGCTGGGTAAGAGGAGGAGAGAGAAGAAAAAGTCTCAGCTCACTACACTTTGAGCAAAGAGCCGCTGGGACCTGCAGCCCAGCTCAGCCAGGCCTGGCCCAGGAGAACATGGCAAACACCAGCCGGCCTCTATCCCAAATAGGGAGGCATGGTACTCCGGCCGCTTCTATCCTATGTGCTTGGCTGCCCTTGGCTGAACTTGGCAGCAGCCTTTCTGTGACTTAGTAGGGTATTGGGTCCCAGTTGAGTCCATTCACTCACGCCACAACTATTTGCTGAATGCCCGCTGCCTGCACAGGAGCCTCCAGTTGGTAAGGACAGGGTCAGATCAGTTTTCTCGGGCCAGGAAGTCATGGAATCAAGAGGTCATCTGGCCTGTACCAGCATTTGAACTCGGGGCTGCCAGGGGTGAGATCTGTGTGGGAAGGGGCCTTCTGCTTCCCAGGGTGGGCAGCCACAGGCCTGGACCCAGTGTCCTGGCTTAGCTTGACTTTTCCTTTGCTTGCCCCTGGTGGCTACCCTCTGATTCTCTTTCTCTGCAGTGTTTTTCCTATCAGAAAGAAAAAGAATTTTAAAAGAGCTTCAGGAGCCCCTTCTTCCCCCTTAGTTTGGGAAAA